TTGGGTAAATATCCTTTCCAATTCTGTAGATTGTCTTTGTATTCTGGTTATTGTAGCTTTTGAGGTGCAGTAGCTTCTTTATTTAAAATAGTCCCATTTGTTTATCTCTGTTTCCACTTGGTCAGTGGAGTGTCGTCTTTGAAGATACTATTGGCCTCAATATTGTGGAGGGTTTTGCCGACTGTGTCTTCATTTTATCTTATGTATTTGGGCCTGATGTTGAGATCTGTAATCCATTTTGATCAGACTTTTGTGCGTGGTGTTTGGTCGAGGTCTGAGCCCATTTTTTTTTGCATGTGGTTGTCCAGTTATGCCAACACCATTTGTTGAAGAGGCTTTCCTTGTTCCACTTCATATTTCTTGCTCCATTATCAAAGATTAGACGTTCATACATTTGGGGTTGTGTGTACAGTTATTCCACCCTGTTCCATTGGTCTGTGGCCCTGGCTTTGTTCTAGTACCATGCTGTTTTAATTATTACCGCTTTGTAGTAGAGTTTAAGGTTGGGGAGAGTAATCCCTCCTCATGTATCTTTCCCAAGAATTCCTTTAGCTTTATGTGGGCGTTTGTTGTTCCATATGAATTTCAGGAGTGCTTGATCTATTTCTTTGAATAATTTCATGGGTATCCTCATAGGGATCACGTTGAATCTGTATAATGCTTTTGGGAGTATTGCCATTCTGACGATGTTGATTCTTCCTATCCATGAGCAGGGGATATGTTTCCATTTTCTCATGTCCTCTTTTATTTCATGGAGTAGCGTTTTGTTGTTTTCATTGTCGAGATCCTTTACCTCTTTAGTTAGGCTGATTCAGAGGTATTTAATTTTCTGGGGCACAATTGTGAACGGGATTATTTTTTTCATGTCAGTTTCCTCTCTCTCATTATTTGAATATAGGAAGGCCATGGATTTTTGAGCGTTGATCTTATAGCCTGCGACTTTACTGTATGAGATTTGTTTCTAGAAGTTTCTTGGTAGAGGATTTAGGATTCTCGAGATATAGTATCACATCATCTGCAAATAGTGAGAGCTTGATTTCTTCCATTCCTATCTGGATACCTTTAATGTATTTTTCTTGCCTAATTGCTACTGCAAGTACTTGCAGTACTATATTGAACAGAAGTGATGATAGTGGGCATCCTTGTCTTGTCCCTGATCTTAGAGGAAAGGTCCTTAGTTTTTCCCCATGGAGGATATTGCTTGCCATGGATTTGTTTTAGATAGCTTTGATTATCTTGAGGAAAGTTCCTTTAAAACCCATTTTGGTGAGAGTTTTCATCATAAACGGGTGCTCGATCTTGTTGAAAGCTTTCTCCGTGTCTGTTGATATCATATGTTTTTTATCTTTACTTTTGTTGATATGGTGAATTATGCTGATTGATTTCCAAATGTTAAATCATTCTTGCATCCCTGGGATGAATCCCACTTGGTCGTGGTGTATGATCTTTTTGATGAGTTGTTGGTTTCTATTTGCTAATATTTTGTTGAGGATCTTCACATCTGTTTTCATCAGGGATATTGGCCTATAGTTTTCTTTGTTGGTGGTGTCTTTGTTTGCTTTAGGTACTAGGGAGATATGTGCCTCATAGAAGCTGTTTGGGAGAGTTCCTGTTTTTTTTCAATTTCCTGGAAAAGCCTGAGGAGAACTGGCAAAAGGTCTTCTTTAAATGTTTGAAATAATTCACTATTGAACCTGTCTTGGCCTGGGCTTTTTGTTTTGGGGAAGATTTTTGATTTCTGTTTAAATTCCTTGATATGAATAGGTCTATTCAGGTATCCCAAGTCTTCCTGGTTCAATCTTGGGAGATTATAGGTATCCAGGAATTTATCCATTTCTTCTAATTTCTCTTGTTTCGTGTCATGCAGACTCTCAAAGTAGTCTCTGATGATCTTTTGGATTTCATTGGTTTCTGTTGTGATGTCCCCTTTTTCATTTCTGATTCAGTTTATTAGGGTTCTCTCTCTTTCTTTGTGAGTCTTGCTAGTGGTTTATCAACCTTATTTATTTTCTCAAAGAACCACCTCTTGGTTTCATTGACCTTTCGAATTATTTTTTTTTGGTTTCCATGTCGTTAATTTCTGCTCTAAGTTTTAATATTTCTTTCCTTCGGCCAATTTTGGGTTCCTTTTGTTGATCTTTTTCTAAGATCTTGAGCTGTGTGGTTAGGTTATCTATGTAGGCCCTTCTTTCCTTAGGAATGCTTGCAATGCTATAAATTTTCCTCCATAGCATGCTTTATCTGCGTCCCTTAGGTTCTTGTACCTTGTGTCTTCATTCTCATCTGTTTTTACATATCTTTTGATTTTGTCTTTGACTTCCTTCCTGACCCACTCATTGTTCAACATTGAGTTGTTTAATTTCCAGGTGTTTGATTTTTTTTTTGATGTCTTTGTGTGATTTTCTTCTATCTTTAAGGCATCGTGGTCTGAAAAGATTGTTGATACTACTTCTATTTTCCTGATTCTATTGAGGTATATTTTGTGGCTTAGCATGTGGTCTATTTTGGAGAATGTTCTATGTGCACTAGAGAAGAATGTTTATTCTTTCTTTTTGGGGTGTAAAGCCCTGTATAGGTCTATTAGTCCTTTCTCTTCTATTTCTTCCTTCAAAGCCAATGTTTCCTTGTTGAGTTTTGTTCTTGTTGATCTATTTACAGGTGATATGGCGATGTTGAAGTCCTCCTTAAAATCTGTTAGCAGTTGTTTTAAGTATTTAGCTAGTCCCTCAGTAGGTGCGTATACATTTAAGTGTGTGATTTCTTCCTGTTGTATGTATTCCTTGATAAATAGAAAATGGCCTTGGCTGTCCCTTCTAATCTTTTTCAACTTAAAATTTATGTTGTCATATACTAGTATGGCCACCCCAGCTTTTTTGAGAGAGCTGTTTGCTTGCAGGATTGTTTTCCATCCTTTAACTTTGAGTCTGTGTTTGCTCTGTTTGTTCAGATGGGTTTCTTGTAGACAGCAGAATGTTGGTTGCAGTTTCTGGATCCATTTTGCCACTCTGTGTCTCTTGATTTGTGCTTTTAGACCCTTGACATTAAGAGAGATTTTTGTCATGCGGTTTTGTGCCATCTTTCTGTAGGGGTTGGTTGTGTTTATAGGTGTTTTCCTTCTTATCTTACAGGGTCCCCTTTAATCCTTCTTTTAGATTTGCTTTGAGTCTATGAAGTTCCTGAGCTGTTGCTTATCTACAAAATTGTATATAGTTCCATCGAGTTTGAGTGAGAGTTTAGCTGGATAAAGTATTCTTTGTGAGGCGTTCATTTCATTGAGTTTTTTTCACTATATCCCACCATTGCCTTGGGGTTTGGAGGGTTTCCTCTGATAGGACTGCTGTAAATTTAAGTGGTGCTCCTTTGTATGTGATTTACTTCTTTGACCTTGCTCCTTGTAGTATTGTGTCTCTGTCCACAGCATCCATTGTTCTGACTATGATATGCCTTGGAGTATTTTATTCGGGTCTCTTTTAGCTGGCACCCTTCTGGCTCCTTGGATTTGTATGTCTGCATTTTTAACTCTGGGAACTTTTAGCAATGATTTCTTTGACTGTGGCTTTTTCATTGGGGTTGCCTCCCTGTCCTTCTGGTACTCCAATGATTCTAATGTTGTTCCTCTTGGCATAATCTCGTAGGTCTCTGATTCTCCTTAGAGCTATTTTGAGGTCTTTTCCCATTTCTTGTTGTTCCCTATGCGATTTCTGTTGCTCATCTTCAAGCTCACTGATCCTGTCTTCAGCTGTATTCATCCTACTGGTAAGGGCACCTACTGAGTTTTTAATTTTGTCTACTGAATCCTTTATTTGTAGCACTTCTTTTTGTAGCTTTTTTATTTCTGCTCTCATTTCAACCTGTATTTTCTCGATTATCTATTCTTTTGTTTCTTTCATTTCTTCCTTTAGTTTTCTGGACATCTCCATTGATTCTTTGAGTAGATTCTTGAACATCCTCTGCATTTTGTCTCGGAATTCTTTATCAGAGAAAGCATATTTGTGGATAACCCCGTTGAGGATTCGGGACTCTTTTATTCATCTTCTCCTTGTAGTGGAGATTTGCACTGTTTCTTCATGTTGTTTTGGTTGTCTAGTGGTAAAACCCTGAAATTCACTAGTACTGTTTCCTTCTTATCGTGGGAAAGGATTCTGGATAAGGTCAGTGGATGGTGGTCACCCTTCTCCCTTTCTAGAGTCTGATCTTCCTCTCAGGCATTATTCTTTGGCTTATGATGGGCGTCTAGTGAATCTTTGGAGGAGGTGCTCTTTAATATTGGACTTGTACAGCGTCTTGCATACTGGGCTTTTGTTAGAATTGGAGTACGCCAGTGGATTATTGTTGTAGTGGAGGTGGCCAGAATTTTTTCCACAGAATTAGGTGATAAAGGATGGTATGAAAGTCTAGAATGCTGGGAGTGGGGAATATAACTTCGGTGGCCGCCCACCCTGGAGAAGGCCACACCCACTTTGAGGAAGCCACGCCCCCTAAATTAGCCACGCCCCCGAAGGACCAGATGCTAGTCCACCGACCTGTTGGGGCGGCGACTAGTTGGGCTGGCACTCTGCAGAAGTGGAGGCAAGTTCTCCAGGCCAGGATCTGGGCCACGGCTGGCTATTAGGGTCGCAAGTTTAGGTGGGGGGGAGTTGAGTAGAGGGAGGCAGAACGGCTCAACTATGGGCTTGCGCGGTGTGCCTCAATTCCCGTCTCACGCAGACCATGGATGAAAACCTGCTGTTGTCAGGGAATCTAGTTAGACGTGTGGCCCCGTGAAGGGGCCCTGCCGCCGGGTGGGTACCTGGATGAGTCTTGGGCTTTGGATTTTGATGTATTTAGATATCTCACATCTAAACTGTCAAAATATTGCTGTTCATCTTCCAAAGCTTATTCAGAATTTTAAGATGGCAATTATGGGGCCAGTGATGAGGTTTAGCAATAAAATGAATTAGATCAGTGGCACCACAAAACAAAAAATGGCGATAAAGTGCAGCTGCTTTCTGTGAAGGCAGTGATGAATCATTCCTTTTCTCACACACATTCTTTGGAAGGCTGAGCAGAATGAGTGAACTCAATACCGTTGTTCTCAAAATCGTAGTGATAAGCCTGTTGTGGGTGTTGGATTCATCTTCATAATAAGTTATGGTGGTAATACCTCAAAAGAAAGAAATAAAAGCACCTTTGTAAATAAAATAAGATGAAATCTCTCAGCTGGCCAAGCTGACAGGCAGCTAATCTTATTCTAGAGTCTGGAGAAATAAATTAGAGGAAGAAAAGCAGCTGAAAGCTGGTCTTGTGAAGCAGGATTCCGCTTCACAGGGGAGACAGCTGCTTCTTCCATATGCCTGGTTTCTAGGAATGGACTTCTGCTTCTCCAGTGCTATTCCTTGAGATGATCAGGATATTTGTTGGCACTACCCAATCTCATTCAGTTCTTAAGAAATTGTAAATCCTGAAAATAACAGGTTCCCAGTATAGGAAGCACTAGTGATGCTCGTAAATGTTGTCCTGGAGTCAATACCCCCTTGAGTGAATGTGATTGATAGATGCAAGAAACCAGCAAATTTGAACAAGATATAAACATAAGGCTATTCAGGCAGAATCAATTATGATTCCTATTATTTACAAAAGTAAGATCTAGGGCTGGAGCAATAGCACAGCATCTAGGGCGTTTGCCTGCGCGCAGCCAACCCGGGTTTGATTCCCAGCATCCCATATGGTCCCCTGAGCACCGTCAGGGGTAATTCCTGAGCGTAGAGCCAGGAGTAACCCTGTGCATTGCCAGGTGTAATCCAAAAAGAAAAAGAAAAGAAATGTAAGACCTAATGCTACAAAATAATAGAAATTGTGAATTACATACATCTCTAGGATTTAAAGTTATTCACCTTTGGGTCACGTTTTTGGAGTTTTTCCTTCACACTACTGTGGACGCATATCAGATTGTAATGATGATAGAATAAAAGTATAACATACATGTGAGTGTATGTGTAAAATATTTTTATAAAATTTATAATAATTTAAATTTATGTTTGTGATATAAATATATAGATTATATCTAAATCGGCTGGAGCAATAGCACAGTGAGTAGGGCGTTTGCCTTGCACATGGCCAACCCGGGTTCAATTCTTCCACCTCTCTCAGGGAGCCTGGCAAGCAATATCTCGCCCACATGGCAAAGCCTGGCAAGCTACCTGTGACGTATTCGATATGCCAAAAACAGTAACAACAAGTCTCACAATTTGTTGCGAGATGTTACTGTGCCCACTCGAGCAAATCGATGAAAATGGGAGGACAGTGCTACAGTGCTTATATCTAAATATGTAAATTTTATCTATATTATATCTAAAATATATAAACATAAATTATATAGATATATATAATTATGTCTTTAGATACAACTGAAATTGAATCGTAAACATCTTTGTAGCTGTGTATCTCATGGTGATTCAGTATAAAACAATGTTAAGTGTGTCTTTGCCATACATTAATATAAACCTATATTAATATGTTAACAATAAATTAGCAACACAATGATATGCCATATATTAATATATAGTAACTCCTAAATTATGTTAAAGCATATACTCAGATATGTTCAACAGACCCAAAGAAAAAGTTAAGATAATATATTGAAATATTAAATTCTTATTTTTGACTAATTCGACTTGCAGACAGATGGTCAAGTGCTTTTCAATTTTCTGTAATAGAAATTAATTATTTTACCAAATACACAAATAGAAACCAATTTCAAAATCTTTTTAACAAGATTCTTCAAGATTCCTTTCTAAAGCCAGGCATCATATAGCTTATCTTACCAACATTTATTACTTTTATTGTAATAGCGATAAAGTTGTTGAAACTAATTCTTTAAGAGCTAGGACTCTGTTTATTTGCATCTTTTACCTCAGTGAAAGAGGAAGATAAATTAGTTGTCAAAATTATACTGAACTGTAAAGTATTTAGTGTTTCCTAAAGTCAACAACAACAGCAACAAACACGCAGGCACACACACACACACACACACACACAGAACCCTACTGCTTGGGGGACCAGAAGTAACATCTCTCTGGTGCAGTGGTTGGGAAGTGTGTGCAGTGCTTTCTGTTTCTTTGCTTAAAGAAGATAGATTTCATCTGGGCAAAAGGGAGCAGCTGAGTTATTTTTCTTATATTTTTGTTTGCGAAAGGGGACATTAGGGCTAAATAAGTTTGTTGGGAACTTCTGTATTAAAATGGATCAAACATCTCAAAGGTTGGATTACAAAATACATAGCAAAGAATTGGTAAAGAAGCCAAAGAAATCACATATCATGCTTGGATGGAAATTTACTGAGTTCTTAAAAGATGCATTAGGAAACAGAATTTACGGTAACTTTTTTAAGCTACCAGTCAGCTTGAGATAAGATATATACAAATAGTTTGTGGAAAAATAAGACTTTCTTTGAATACTAGATGTGATCATTGAGACAGAGTTAATATAGGGTCTATTTTGATTTGTTGAAGAATGATCCACAAGGCCTTTATAAAGCCATCAAGCTTAAGTGTCAAGATTTTCTTATTATTACTCTTGAGGAACTGAATCTGGCATGGCAATTTTCCTGAGGATCTTGCTGGTATAAAGTAGGTCTTTTTAGGTTAAGGAGACTTTTAGAAACTAAGCCTTGTTTTATTATTTTCTTCTCCAGTTTTTGTTTTGCTTGGTCAGAGTCTGTTCATTTTTATCTAAAAATAAGATTGACAAAATGTATGTAGTTTCTACTAGCATGGAGAGGTACAAGGACCATTTGTCTCCTGAAGTTTCCTGTAACAGAGGTATACAAGGAATTGTTTTCTGGGTGAATTAGAGGTAAAAGCCACTTTTGTTTCTTCTCTTATCAGGTGATGAGAAGAGTAGGGACTCAGGTTTCTATTTGAGCCCCACACTGTACTTTCAGTAGATTTAGAGAAGAAATTCAGGCAGAAGGTCACAGGTGAACACTTTCCATTCTGGTAGGATTGAGGTTTTCTTAAAAGACTTTGAAGTTAAATCAACAGTTTCAGAAAAAACTTTTTTTCTTATGGAAAAAGTTTTGAGAACTAACTAGAAAATAAGTTTATGAACTTGCATTATTAAGTAATATTTCCATTACCATAAAACTTCACTAAGTTATCTAAAACCGAAAGCAAAAACATGAAGCTTTTTTGTATCCTTCTTTTTTGAAGGCTTCCTTTCCTTTTTTCCTTCTCTTTTGTTACTGTGTCAAAGTAATTTGAGAAAGTTTCTCCTCTGTTCTGTTTATAACTTCCGTAAGAATAGGTATTTGGCCATTGTAATTTATTTTTCAGTCCCTAAAAATTACTTCAAAACTTTGTTTTTAAAAAAGGCTTTTTTTTGTGTGGGGAGTGTGAGGTGTGTGTATGTGTGCCTGTGTATGTGTGGTGGTTGGTTTTGTGACTTGAATGCAAGACAAGTATTCTACCATTGAGTCATTTCCCTGGCTGTTGAAGTTCAATGACATTTTTAATAACACATTTTAGATGGATTTGTGGAGTTTAACTTAAATAAGGTATTTGAAAAAATATAGGATTTAAAGTTTATAAAGTATGATTTTTCTAAAAGACTTGTTCCTTATTCATGTCATTGTTTTTAAACTTTGAAGCTAAGAATTCCTAGTTATAGAATCTTGTGTGGGTTTTTTTTTTTGATATTTTAAACATACAATTACTTCATAGAGTAACTTAGTGGTAAAAATCTCCACAGATTTCTAATAGAACCAAAGAAAAGTAAAGACTGTTAGTTGGGAGGTATCTAAAATATTGCTTTGTTTTGTTTTTCACCTTTGTAGATCTTGATGATTATGTTTCATACCTAGGTCTATAAGGAGCAAAAATGGTCTTAAACTTTTAATCTTTCTCTTAACTGTTTTTCTTTTTTTTAAAAAAAAAATTATTAGTGAAACACCAAGAGGTACAGTTGTAGACCTACAAATTTTTTTTGCTTGGGTTTCAGTTATACAGTGATCGAGTACCCATCCCTCCACCAGTGCCCATTCTCCATCACCAATGATCTCAGTACACCTCCCACCCCCTATCCCCCCATCCCACCCTGTCTCTGTGGCAGGGCATTCGCTTTTGTTCTCTCTCTCCTCTTGGGTGCTGTGGTTTTCAAAGGAGGCATTGAGTGGCAGTCATGTTCAGTCTGTAGTCTACTTTCAGCATGCATCTCCCACCCTGGGAGGATCCTCCCAACATACTTTATTTGGTGCTCCCTTTTCTATCTGAGCTGCCTTTTCCCCAAGCATATGTGGCTGGCCTCCAAGCCATGGTGTGAACACCCTGGTATTTATCTCGGCTATTCTTGGATGTTAATGTTTATTTTATTTTGTCATTTTTGTTTACTATTGTATCAAGCAATCTTTATTGAATAGTGAGAGCTGAGTTATACATTCAATATTCATAGTGACATACAGATTTGGGAGGATATTTTTAGATCAAAAGACTGATCTAGACTCCAAGCTTTGTGCAGAGTGGTCAAAAATCTCCCAAAGATGGTTCAGTAAATCCTCCACATCATTTTAAGTGATTATTAGGATAGGAAGCACCTGTTAAGGAGCCTATGAATAATCATGGAGAGATATTGGCATTTTGATATTAGATGTGGTGTAGTAGCATTGTATACCTAAAACAATTACACTATTATAAATCATTGTTAATCAATAAAAATAAATGAGAAAAATTTACATCACAAAATAAAATGTTACTAAAATATTTTTAATAAGCCATATGGTATAGTAAAGAAGTTTTATTTTTGCTACAACATAAGGATATTAATTCCTTTTTAATTAAAAATACTTGTAGGAGCGTTTAGTCATCTAGACTCCATTTGTTTGCTTGCTTGCCTGCTTAGGTATTATCTGTATTTTCGGTAGGATTAAGTCAGAAATCTTGAAATGGGAAGTTGGGGTTGAGCATGAAGCTGCCATTCAAATTTGAAAGTTTTTGTTTTTTGGAAATTAGATTATTTTTTTCTATAAAATGTAAATGAATTATGCTTTTTAGATTATTGCTTTAATCTCTTTGGGCCACTGCAATAAATTGCCACAAGTCTTACAACATAAAACAA